GACTTCCCTTCTGCAAGATCTTTGCATGTTCATTCCCTACCTGTTCCAGCCTTCACCACTGAATATCGTGGCACAGATATCTGAACCTTTCAGAGCTGAGGATTCAGCTCTTTGTTTCAAACTTATTTTGCCTTACGCACTTATTGCCAAGTAAAACAAATGCTCATCTTTGTGATGGCTTCCAGCATGCCCTGCAGAGCCATGTTCACTCTGATGCCCCCTCACAGTGAGCCACACTCTGTCACTGCTGCCTCCCTGATCTGTCCTTGCGAGGCCAGTCTGAGCCCAAGTAGGCAGCAGGACACCTCCCTTGTACCCACTGCCTGTAGCCACAGAGGACCAAATGGGCATTTGCAGCTCTTCTTTCCAGGAATTTGGAGCTGGTTGCTATAGTGATAAACAAGTTGGCTTATTAGGGGAAGGAACAAAGCACTAGAGAAAATGATTTCAAAATGGCCTACGTGCATACATAAACATGCAATCTCGTCCTTCATTATCAGCCCAGGCAGCTGGGGTTCTTGTTTTTGGAACAGCACAGACACCTTATCTATTATTTTAGCACATCCAGCCTGGTTTCCACAGTCTGTTTTTTTTCTGCAATATCTTGTGTGTGAGTGAGTGTGGGGTCCTTCAATTCTGAATTGTAGAATGACATTTCTTGGGGAGTTCCACAACTGGACACCACAGGGAAATGCAATCTGTTAAAGAAAGTGCTGGGTGACCTAGTAAGGCTGAAAGAAGCGCAAAGGAACAGATGTAGACAGAAGGAATTAAATTTTTGCTGCATCCTGTGCTGTTTCCCCTGTGTTTTTTTCTTCACCTCCTGCTGACACCAAGACACCTCTGAGCAGACACACAGGGTGCTGATCTGAGCCTGTCAGATGGCAAAACATTACATTCTCTGTAGGAAGTCTGGCTTCAGCGCTGGTCTTCTGGGCCTTTGCTGAAGTGTAATAAACCTGCTCTGATTTAAATGCCTGGGTAGCAACGAGATCAGCCTCGCGCCCTTGGATATGTGGCAGACAGTGTATGCTCTTTGACATTCCTGTGAGATGCAGCCCTGATGCTCTTTTTTGGCTAATCATGCATTTTGATTGACTGAGCAGTGCCAAAAGGTACAAGTTCAAACACTAAAAACCACACCGCATATACTGAATTTAGATGGGTAGGCCAGTTGCATTGCCTGCTACAATTTGAGTCACCTCATATCTGGTTTTAACTGTCGCAGAAACCAAGCTGATGAGCCACCTCTACATGCCAGAGCTGATTATCCATTTTCATTTATCATCAGTCAATGCTGTTGAAAAACCCCAAAACATTCCAGAGAAATGAACCATCCTTGAATTTAGTCTATTCTATTACAGACATGTGGAATAGGAGGTATTTCTCTACAGTGTTTTATCCACAAGTTAAAAATAATGGCCTGTTTTGATATGTTTATCCAACTGTTTTCACTTCTGTTCCTGCAGGACTATAACAGTTGATCAGCTGCAGAACCTATGAAACAATCAATTTTAATAGCCTTGTTTCAAATACTACCCATAACTCTGACTGTCTTTCCAGTATCTGAAGAACAGCCTGCAATGTTGTACCTAGCTTGAGCAAATCCTGCTGCTTAGAAATCAAGGAGAAATCCAGATGCTTTGAGCCAGAAGAAGGTGCGGGCAGACAGAAGATTCTGCAGCATGATCTAATATAGAAAAAAGAAATAAAATTAAAAGCCTGTTTGCTCCTGTAAAATAAGATTTCTTGTGTATGTCCATGCATATGGACACAGATACTAACACTGCTTTCTGTCACTGTCAGGCATTCTTCTGCCAGAGCCAGGCATCCTCCACTGGTAAGAACAGTGCACAAAGGTAGAGGCAGTTTTTATCAAAACAAATGAAAAATTGCGTGCCAAGTCCTGACACATCTCTGACAAGAATCTTTGGAGAACTGGCACAGCAGTTAGCAATATCGCAATAGATGAGCCCATCAATAAAGCACTGCAAACAAGCAATACCGGACTGGATCCTGGAGGGACAAACCTGCCCCCATGCCATCACACAGCCCAGAATATGCTCTGCACTGCGTGTTGTGTGTGAAACCATAGGAACAACCTGAGTCACACACAGAGAGTGGTACCATCCATCACAACTTAGAAACTTGTCCTTTGTTTCAGAGTTGCACCTGAGGCCTCGAATTAGATGTGACAATTTTTATATCATCCTGTGCTAAGGTGTTCTGCAAAAAAAACTATCTTTGTAGACAGCTTGTCTTCACAAATGGGGTGGTTATTTGATTGGGTTCCTCCAATTGCCAAAGGAAGAATGTTTTCTTTGCTCATCAAAAACCAAGAGTTAAATAAATAGCAGTTAGCTTGTACGTAGTGCTTGATTATAACTTACCTGCCCCTCTGATACAATCTGTACGCAAAGCTAACAGAACGATGCCGCTTTATTTGATCTCACATCTGACGTGCTTGAATCACGACCTCTGACTGCCCTGTGGCACACAAAAACATATTACAGTGGTTCTGGGGTAAAAATACCATTGTTGTAATTTGTTATAGGACAGGTGCACATCTCAGATCATCCTGTTACAGATATGGGCAGTTAGAAGCAGTAAATATGCGCTAGCAAGTGCACGGATACATACAGCTGCCAGCTCTCAGCAACAGAATGAGAGAGATGGGGGAACATCACAGAGTTCATCAGGAATCTGATGAACTACGAAGACAGGCTGAGGGAGCTGGGCTTGTTCAGCCTGGAGAAAAGAAGGCTGCGGGGTGACCTCATTGCAGCCGTTCAGTACCTAAATGGAGCCTACAAACAGGAGGGGAATCAACTCTTGGAAAGGGTAGATAACAGCAGGACAAGGGGAAATGGTTTGAAGTTGAGGGAGGGAAGGTTTAGGTTGGATGTCAGGGGGAAATTATTTACAGAGAGAGTAGTGAGGTGCTGGAACAGGCTGCCCAGAGAGGTTGTGGATGCCCTGTCCCTGGAGGCGTTCAAGGCCAGGTTGGATGGGGCCCTGGGCAGCCTGGTCTGGTATTAAATGTGGAGGTTGGTGGCCCTGCATGTGGCAGGGGGGTTGGAGATTCATGATGCTTGAGGTCCCTTCCAACCCTGGCCATTCTGTGACACTGTGAATCTCCCTGGTGCTGAGTGGATGCCCGCGCTACTTCCTAACCACCGCAATCACACTTATCTGTTCTTACTGCTACCTCCACTCAGGCTTATAGCCACTAACCATTACACATTCCTGCGAGCCTAAGTTCTGAGTGCATATATGAAGTCCACCAAAGACAGTATTTCTGGCTGAACTGGGAAGAACCTACACGCCCTGTGAAGAACATCAGTTACACACATCCATTCGTCACCTTCACTTCCTATGTTCTGCCTCAGTAGGTTTTTGGGATGCTGACGCCATATCAAACAGTTCCTGGCTTTGGATTAACTTTTCCAAATGAGAACAAACAGCAGCTCACTGGTATGTAGCTTCGATACATACACTGTGTTACTTAAATGATCTCTCTCTGTAAACGAGACATTTGAGCAAATGAGAAAACAAGGGTATGCTCAGTCACTGGGGAAAGATGGTATTTAGATTTTTGTCCTTTAGATAAAATGCATCAGAACAACACGGGCAACTGTAATTTCATGTCTGAGGTGGTTTTGATTCGGATATATTGAACTATTTATGCTGGCTGCACTGTGCTGTGTTGCTCCGTAAATCACACAGCGACCCCTCCATCTCCCCACCAAACACGCTAACTCCCATTACCTCTCAGCCACACAGATGTTCCCTGATTGAGATAGTGCATGGTTGTGTGCCACCCTCACTTTCACACGGATTTCAGCCTACGTTATGTCACATCAGCGCCCTTTGTGTGTGTGAGCCCTGTGGGTTCATACGTCCTTCTGAATAACAAATGGATCACTCCATGGGTATGAGAGATAGATGTGCTGCTCTGTCTGTGGCTGTTACACACGTGCCGATGTGAAGGATGTGCACAGAGCAGAAAGGAAAGGAGCAGCTTAAGAGAAGGAGGCAGTGCGAAGATGTGATCAACGTCTCTAACCCACACCATTCCCTAATACCTAATATTCAGTGACAAATCAGCCTGTTTCTGAACCCGAACAGTCCCCGGGTTGGCGAGCTCACGATTCAGTCTTATGAAAGGGTGAATGTTTTACTCAGTGAATGAAAGAGAACTCGGAAATTGGTAAATACCAGCGCCGTGCCTCTGTGTTGTCGTGCAACACTCAGGTGCTCGGTTCGAGTTGCGCGCAGCTCTTTAGCTATGGCAGCAGAGTGCTCAGAATGCATTGGAAACTTCCTCGGTGAGAAAGCTTTGGTCTGACACGCGCATTCCACGCGCGGCATAACAGTTAATGAATGCTTTCTCCCAAGCAAGGCAAAGGCAAGTGCGTTACTATCAAATCCTCACGCATTAATGCTTTTGAAAGGAGCTCTCACGCCATTCTGATCCCAGAGAAGCAGCGGTGCTCGGGACGGCGATCCGGGAAAGGGAGGTGCGCGCGGGGCTCCCGGTGCCGCTCTTCCAGGTGGCGGCGGAGCGGAGGGAGGCAGCCAGAGCCCCAGACACGCGGATATTTACAACTTCGCACTTCTGCAGCGCTTCGAAATATTCCTCCTCTGGGAATAAAAAACAGAATAACGGGGCGGGTTCGCGCGGGCGAAGGTGAGCGCTGCGAACACCCGGGGCCGTCGGGGCGGGATGGAGCGGCGGGCAGCCCGGAGCGGAGCGGAGCGGGGCGGGACCCCCGGAGCCGCCCGCGGGGACCCTCCCTCCGCCCGCCTCCCGCCTCCGCGCCGCCAGGGGAAGCGGCGGGGAGCGAAGCGGCCGCTCCCCAGAGCCCCCCCGGCCATGCCGAGGGAGGAGGAGGAAGAGGAGGAGGAGGGAGCGCGGCCGCTGGCGGGATAGAGGCGGGCGGCGGCGGTGCCCCGCGCGGGGCGAGGCGGAGCGGTGGCCCCGCGCCCGTCCATGGGGCGGCGCTGAGGGACGTTGCGGCGCGGCGGGGCAGCATGAAGAAGGCGCTGCTCCTCAGCCGCTTCCTTCTGCTGCTGCCCTGGGTGCTCGTCGTCGTCATCGTGCTGGACATCGACAGCAGCAGGGCGCCGACGCCCGCGCCGGGACCCCGCGGCGGAGAGAGCGGCGGCGGCAGCGGCGGCGGAGGGTCCCGGCCGGCGACGGAGCGGGCGTCCTCACCGCGGCGCCCCGAGGCCGCGCTGCCCACCATCTATGCCATCACGCCCACGTACAGCCGCCCGGTGCAGAAGGCCGAGCTGACCCGGCTGGCCAACACCCTCCGGCAGGTGGCGCGGCTCCACTGGATCCTGGTGGAGGACGCGGCGACGCGCAGCGAGCTGGTGAGCCGCTTCGTGGCGGACGCCGGGCTGCCCTGCACGCACCTACACGTCCCCACGCCGCGCCGCTACAAACGGCCTGGGCTGCCCCGCGCCACCGAGCAGCGCAACGCCGCCCTGGCCTGGCTGAGGCAGCGGCACCAGCACCTGCCGGCCCCTCAGCCTGGCGTGCTCTTCTTCGCCGACGACGACAACACCTACAGCCTGGAGCTCTTCCACGAGGTGCGTGCGGACGGGCCGCGGGCTCCCCTAAGCGCCGGCCGTCGGCGCTTCCCTCCGGCGCCCGAGTTCGGTCCGGGCGGGCGCCCCGCCGCATCCCCGGTCCCCGCCCCGCCGGGATGCGGCGCCTTGCCGGGGTTCCCCGCAGCCCTGCGCACTTGTGACGGCTTTCCCGTTTCCCTGCCGAGCGAGGCGGGTTTGGGGATTATGTAACGAGTGAGAGCCGCCACGGACCACCCTGACCGCCCCGGTTGTTCCAGGCTGAGCCCCGCGTTCCTTCAGGTGACGCCCCGGCCGCTGTTTCGTGGCTCCTCGTGGAGCCGCCCGGGATGCGCGAAGCCCTTGCTTCCTAGAAGCGGCGGATCGGATCGCTCCCGCAGCGAGCGAGCAGCCTTCCAGCAGTCCCTCGGTGCGGGGACGCGCTGTTGTCTTTACTTCAGCCCTGTGCTGAGGCACTCCAGTAAGTGAGGCTCTCTGCTCTCTTTGTGGCCCCCCTCGGCAGGGAGGAAGGCTGTACGATGAGTGGGCCACCAGCAGCGGAAGATGACTGTTGGGGGTGTAACCTCGGCAGGGACGCAGCAGGGTCGACGGGCAGATGGGAGCATGAGGCTGTTGGTGACCCGCGTCCCTCGCTGAGGGGAACTGCTATGCTTGGGAGTCACAAGGGTTCTTTAGATGCCTTAGGACAACGCACTAAATTCCCTAGAGCTGGTTGTTTTAGAAGAATTGCTTTTGTTTGCTCGTGTTTAGGTGGTAGTGCATCTGTTCCTGTTTTCGTCATGCTGGCAGTTGTGCGGTCCTTCTGAGCAGGGTGCCCCACTTTCTTTCTCAGTTTGGCATTCAGCACTGTTGCTGCCAGTTTGAGGACCTTGTCCTGGAGACACAGTTCTTGTTGTGAGTGATGTCCTGAAAGTCTCGTGGCTGTGCTGAGGGTATTGTAATGTCCCAGACCTCCATGGGTGGAAGCGTCCGTTTCTGCTCGAAGATACAAACTACCCTGATGCTTCCTAAGGGGCTCTGTAAATTGATACAGAAAATGCATTAAGAATGGTTTGAGTTGGAATGAACCCATAAGGGTCACACAGTGCAGCTCCCCTGCAGTGAGCAGTAACATCCACAGTTAGATCAAGTTGTTCAGAGCTGTGTTCAGCCTGACCGTGAATGTCTCCAGGGGTGGGGCATCCACCACTTATCTGGGCAATCTGTTCCTGTGCTTCACTGCACTTACCAGAAAAAACCTTTTCCTTATATTCAGTTTATGTATCCCCTCTTTTAGTTTGAAACCATTTCCCCACTCCTGTTGCAACAGGCTGCTTAGAAGTCTGTCCCCTTCTTTCTTATAGCCTTGCTTCAGGTACTGAAAGGCTGCTCTCAGGTCTCCCCACAGCCTTCTCTTCTCCAGGATGAACAGCCCCAGCTCTCTCAGCCTGCCCTTGCAGAAGAGGTGTTTCATCCCTTAGATCAGTTTTGTGGCCCTCCTCTGGATGTGTCCTGACAGGTGCTCATGTGCTGAGGACTCCACATCAGGGTGTAGCACTCCAGGTGAGGTCTTACCAGCGCAGAGCAGAGGGGCAGGATCCCTTCCCTCAGCCTGTTGACCATGCTTCTTTTGGTGTAGCTGGGGTTGCAGTTGCCTTTTTGGGCTGTGAGGGCACATTTGCATGAAAGCAAAGGAAAGGAATGAACGTGTGGGGTGCTAACCTTAAGAATTACAGGCGTGGCAGAGGATTTATGCTGCCTCTCACTCACAGGAGCACAGGTGATCTTGCACCCACAGCCACTCACCCCTGAGACTGCCCTTTCACCAGGTTTAGCTGGTGGGGAAGAGCTGTTTATTTTGTGCCTTGTGTTTGCAGGCTGGCCCATGTGCATGAGTGAGTTCTCCCTTGAGATGTAGCAGCTGTAAAGCTCCGGTGTGGGAGCAGAGAGGGAGCTTTTGCTTCAGATTCCACCAACTGTTCCCATGGCTGTTTTTTGGCGTCACTGGTGTGTATAAAGCAGTATCTGGGATGCCACCAATAGTCCCACTGGGAGCACCTCGTCCACCTGGCAGAGCTAAGTGGAAGTCCCCTGGCAGGGTTTGCTGGAGGGATGTGCCTTCACAGCAAGTGGGAAGTGCATGTGCAGGGAGATAGCAGTCTTGTTGTTAGCAAAGGCACTGCTTGAAATTTTATTTCTTGTTCAAAAAAACCTCTGTGGTTACAGATTCTGACTTGACAGCTTTGTAGTAAATCCTGCTCTCTCCTTCAGGAATTGATTGATTTATGAGGGTAAACTGAGCTTCTCTTTTCCGAGCACGAAGAGAGCACTTCAGAATGTGTTGCATGCAGAAGGAATCCAGTAGTAATTCTGCCTGAAAGTGGCTCTGAAGGTGCCTGAGAGGGAGGTTTTCTCTGCCTGTTATATGGTACTGTACCAGGAGCCATCCTCCAGCTCTGCAACTTCCTAATCCCACATCTGGTCATCTCTCACCTACTTGGGGAGCAGCATGAATGTGAACAAGGAGAGAGGAGCTCTCGGTTCTCGTCGGAGCGCTGCCCTCTGCTGGCTGGGCAGCCCTCTGCAGGTCGTGCCACAGGCTAAGGGACATGAGGGTGGGTGAGAGGTGTGCATTTTGCTGCTAATTCCTGCAGTCAGAGGATGTTACTGCAGGGCAGAAGATGTGCCAGGGAGCTGTATGCCAGTGTAAGACTGTGTTCATGGCGGCTCCTCTGCTGTGGGTTTCCCTGGCGCTGCAGTGAAAGGCAGAGCCTTTTAGCAGAGCTTGCTGTGAGCAGTGGTGTATGAGCAATAGGGGCACAATAAAAAAAGGAGTGTGTTTTGACATAGGATGCCATGGCACGTTGCTGAGAGCTTTCAATGAGGAAATTCTGATCTTTGTCCAAAGTACTCCTATCTGGTACTTACAGGAATAAGTGTGTTATATTTGATAGGGAGTGAACTATGCAGCGTCTTATGTGGAAATGAGGGGAATTGAAAACAGGAAAAAAAAAAACTGTGCAGAGGTGTTATGCTGGGAAACACTGTCTGTGGTATAAAACTGGAGCTTTCTGTTGCTTTTATAAATGTTTGTGGGGTTGTTTTGTTTTGTTTTGTTTTTTTTTTTTTTGTAGGACATATAATGGATCATGTGTATAGCTTAGTTTTTTGCTGGCAAGATTATGTCCTGGAAGTCAAACTAGATAGGGGATGAGCAAGTTTAGCAGTAGTTCTTAGAGTATGGTGGAGAGGCTGGGTTGTCCTTCTGCTGTTCCAGTGCATTGGTCATCTGCTCAGCTGCGTGTTTTGTTGGGGAGGTCCCATCTTCCTTGCAAGAGCTTTGGGGAAGGACCAGTTGTTCCAGGGTTGCAACATTCCTTGGAAAGCTCAAGAAATAGTTGCAGGAATGGAAGTGAGGCCTTTGAATTATTCCCAGCTCTTTCCATTTGAGAGTATAACGATGCTCAGGTGAAAAATCATGCTTTTAGTTCAGTGCTGCTGGTTCTGGCATATTGTTTTGTCATTTATTCTTTCGGGATGCAGACCTCAGAAGTGATTTATTTTTTTCCATGCTCACACATGATGCGTTTGCCTGGAGGTGTCCGTCTGCATCAAAACCAGCAGTCCACTTTCTGAAAACATCTTTTATCAGCTGAACCTCAGCTGCATTCATAACAAAGCCACCGCGAGGCCTGAAATCCCCAATTCAGTGCGTGATACGCTTTACAGATGTTTCTATATGAATCATCATAACTTCTATTTTATACTGTAGGTCATTCTTCTTGCAGTGACTCTGTTATAGTTTGTTGCCTTTGTGCTTCATCCTATTCCTGAATGCAAGTTATTGTAATATTGTGACTGATTCTTAGCAACTGCTGATTTCATATTTTCAGACATTCTGGAGGAAAATTTAGGTAAGACTCACATTCCACTTTCCTAGAGAGGTGTGAGAAACAAGACTCCAGCCCTAGCGCTGGGAACTGCAGGTAAACATGGTTGAAATTTCCCTGCCTTGAACTCTTCCCCCAAATTCTTAGCAAATGTCTTCAGTGTGCCAAAAGGTGAGCTTGTCGTATTAAGAAATGCACTGACTTCTGCAGATTCCTCTTTGGGTTCTGTCTGCCAGTTTTGCTTGCATTTTGCTCAGACACTTAAAGTGAGATATATTTGAAATTAAAGTGCTTATGTTTAAAGCCATGACCTCCCTCGCTGCCACCCCTAGCCCTCTGGTCACTGCTGCCTGAGATTTCATAGCAGGGTTCGCTAGCTGCCTAAAGAATGCCAGAACAGCAGATACTGGAACAGGCTGCCCAGAGGGACTGTGGATGCCCTGTCCCTGGAGGTGTTCAAGGCCAGGTTGGATGGGGCCCCAGGTAGCCTGGTCCAGTATTAAATGTGAAGGTCAGCAGCCCTGCCTGCTGCGGGGGGCTGGAGCTTCATGATCCTTGAGGTCCCTTCCAATCCAAGCCATTCTATGGCACTGCTGTCATGCCTGAATGTGAGCTGAGGGTTCCTTTAGAGGAACTCACGCTCTACTATGTGTTCTGAATACAGCCCTGCAGAATGGAGTTCAAAGTAAATCACAGCATTAATTCTCATTTCTAAGGAAAAACAAATCCTTTTATTTAGTAGCTCAGCATTTAGCCTAGTTGCTCACTGAGCTGGAGAGCAGAATTCAAATTGCTGTATCTGTTGCCTGCACAAGGATGCCCTGACTATCATGCTGGAAGGGAAGGAGGGGAGGAGAAAGAGCACCACCCTTTTAGCTTGAATTTGAGGATGTTTTTACAGATAATTCAAGGTTCACGGAGCCACAGAAAATATGAGAATCTGATCAGTGTTCTCTGACTCAGTCAGCTGGGTTCTTCTTCGCAGTAGTAGTTTAAACAAACATTGAATTAACCACAAAATCTCTGGTATTTAGAAAGTATGATAATGCTACCTAAGCCTAAGTTGTCCATGCAGGATCATCCTCAAATCAACCAGATGGGAACGAATCACGAGGAAGAGATGAAAAATAATGA